GAACAGATTAATTTTCCTGTTTTCCTTTCAGATGAATATAGAAGGTGCCCCAGTTCTCATTCATTCTTTTGGATTTGTTATTGGAATGTCTTTTCCTTAGTAGTCTATCTGTGAATCATTCGCTATCTATTCGAGGGTCATTGTTATTTAGCGGAAAGATCAAAGCTAAATAATGTAAGACGTGTCGATTTTAAACCGGAAATACCATGGATTCAGTCCTCACCGATGAGCTTGCAATATGGACTTATAACTTGAATGATTTATATACGATGGCCTAGGAACTGGAAACCTGTCAATTTCACGACGCCATTCCGTGATTTAATGAATCCTGGATGATGCAATGCTTGCCAGATGATAAGCCCATATACTTGATTCGGAAATGTGATGCATTTTAGGTGAGGAAGTAGTATAACGTGCTAGTTTTCGTAGAATGCAGCTATTGTTCCTAGAAAACAAGAAAGGCGAATTTTCCCTGCATGCAACTTCTTTAAATGCGCTGAATTTGGCTTTAAATTTGGACCAGCAAATGCCGCGTAGTTTTTCTCTGATCACCTTTTAGTCGGTGAAATATTGAATGACTTTGAGGAGATACGGCGAAGACCATTTTGAGGGCCACTATTTCTTTTTTGGCGACAGTTAAAGGTATGCAAAAACGATTGAAACCCACTGTTTTTCGGGAGCACCATTCGCTTACTAAGCGACAGCTAAGTGCATATGAGAAATTTTACGGGTGCTACGTGTTTTTCTACTTGATGAGCTTTCCGCAGCATTAGCGGCTTCATGAGTACTGAAGGGATTTTACAGCAACGGGGATTCGACATCTGTTTTGTGCTATGCGACATACAATTTATAGAAACGTGCCAAATTTCAGCCGGAAAGGTTTAATGCGTCATGGTCATTTTCATAATTTCTACTTAGACAGAAACGTCGCGGAATAAATTAAAGGTATCAATTATAGTTGGCCGTACACCCTCGTTTGCTTTGGAACTGGAGAGGTTGAGATACTGTGACTTGTTTCTCACTGTGCTACCTCACATCAAGAAACCACGATTGCAGTGGTCATTGCCCCACCTGAAAATCCACGCCAGGGGGATTTCCGACTTCACGTAGGATCCGCATCGTTTTTGCTAAACATAGTAAATCCACGGTTTTCGGGACCTGAGTGGAATAGCGGCCACTGAATGAACAAGCGATTGAGTAAGCGAATAAATGAAGGAAGGAAAATTGTGATGTTGTGATGCATAAAGATGGATACAGTGCTACGAAAACGATCTACACGACGTTCATGAACAACCGGAAAATATTCTCATTGAATTCCTGAAGGGAAACATCGTTTCATCAAGGTTCACAAGGTTTTCTTAAGGTTGAAATGCTTCAGGTTACTCACGAGGCATGGAACACATTCCGTTTTGCAAACGCGGATAAATTTTTCATAAGATTAAGATCAAAAATCATTAATTGTCACCATGGCAGTATACGAATGATATAACATACAGCAGATCACTGTTTTTCTCTCTAATCATCGTAGGGAAAGATGACCATGCGTTTAGCCGCTCTAAACGAAGAAAAATAATTTCAGGTCTGCAGCTTCAACTGTATGACTTTTGGCCTTTGCCTGCCCCAGGCATATCCATCAAGTAAAAGACGCCCATGCTGGTCCTGTTTCGTACGAGACTGGTCTGCATATACATTTTATTACATAAATTACCGACGCTTCGTGCCGTATTCGACTCGTTGTCAAAGCACAGTGAACAAAACTGATTTGGTAATCTGAGGCTAAACTTTGTTGCATAAGTGACAGTGCTGGGATTAATGTTGACAGCTTTTCATATTAATAGCTGACGTCCAGATAGTCAAGATGTCCTGATGCTCAAGCCGATACCAGTGTCCCTGTTCATACGCCTGTTGTAATGGATTAGCAGCGCTTCCTTCTTTCAGAGATTGCGCTGGCAATCTATTATTACGGTTGCCACTGTGCTTTTTGACGAGAGACTTCTGCACAACCGCTGCGTTATATAACCGTCTTCTGATTTGGTTATTACGGAGCCTTTTGTCTGACAATTCGTGAAAAGACTTACATTTCCTGTCTGCTGACACCGTCTATCAACGGTATCTCTCATTCTAACAAAAGTTTTTTCATCATCGTAATGCATTGAGTATTTCAACTTCTTAACATGCGGATACATGAGTCATCTGCTATTTATCGGAGTGTCTTTTTACGAGCTTTACGTAACGAGCGACATTTGCAAGGGTTAAGCCGGTCTTGGCAGGAGAGGACGAGCATGTTCTTGTGCTGCTGTCCTCTGCTACTGGTCACAGCTGAGGTCATCCACCTAACATTTGCTATATGAAGCAAGAAGGACCTTACGTTGGCAAAAGGGATGCCCGTCAGTTTCTTTGCAAAAGGCTTCGTGACGATAGAAATGAATTCTTGAGCCTGGTAGACAATGAGACACTTGCAATGAGCAACTTTTATGCTACCTTTATCAGACATGTCAGTTTGCATTTCTGGGTCTTGAGATGTTATGAACAGACAGCGCAGAGTGTTGCGTCTATAAAAACAATACAATAAATACAGACTATCGTAATAACTGAAAAGAGACAGGAAAATGTCGTTTAGCTGTTCAATGT